AGAACACCTTCATAGATTTATGTCCTAGAATACTATTCAGCCTTAAAAAAAAAAAAAAAGGAGGAGGCCGGGCATGGTAGCTCATGTCTGTATTTCCAGCACTCTGGGAGGCCAAGGGGGGAGGATCACTTGAGGCCAGGAGTTCAAGACCAGCCTGAGCAACATAGCGAGACCCCATCTCTACTAAAAATAGAAAAATCAACCAGGTGTGGTGGTGCACATCTGTAGTCCCAGCTACTGGGGAGGCTGAGGCAGGAGGATCACTTGAGCCCAGGGGTTCAAGGCTGCAGTGAGCCATTATCCCACCACTGCACTCCAGCCTGGGTGACAGAGTGAGACCCTGTCTCTACAAAAAAATAAATAAGTAAACAAACAGAAATTAACGCTCTTGCTCTAACATCAGGTGCTCAGAACCCAGTGCCAGTGTCAAGGAGAGTTCCTAGGGCCACGCTCTTCCCTGACAACCCCTTCTGGTGACCTTACTGCTCCCCCAGCTGCTGTGTGCCATCGTCGCTGGTGCCTTACACTACCTCTACCTGGCCTCCTTCACCTGGATGCTGCTGGAGGGCCTGCACCTCTTCCTCACCGCGCGGAACCTGACGGTGGTCAACTACTCCAGCATGAACAAACTCATGAAGTGGCTCATGTTCCCAGTTGGCTACGGCGTCCCCGCCGTGATTGTGGCCGTTTCTGCAGCATCTAAGCCTCAACTTTATGGGACCCCTGATCGGTGAGCTTGACTCTCACCCTGCGCCGTGGACGGTTTCCTAAGAAAGCTTTCGTTGGGGGTGGGGGGCAGCATTCATGAGGAGGAGGAGGATATACATAACCAATGCACTCTGTGTTCCCCTTTATAGCAGCTCTAACCTCTTTCCCAGTGAGGCTGGATAAGACGGCAGTGAGAGTGCGGAAGATTCTAGAAGGAGGGAGTTTTGGGGGGTTCATCCTTCCCATAATTTGGAACTTTGAGTTCTCAAGTCTTAGTCCCCTTATGAGTGAAATGAGAGGAACAGTTGTACCCATTGTCCTAACCTCACAATTCTGGTGTGAAAACTCAATGGGACTGTGCTCTTAAATTTTTTAACATAGGCTGGGCACGGTGGCTCATGCCTGTAATCCCGGCACTCTGGGAGGTCGAAGTGGGAGGATCGCT